TAAATACATCAAGTGCCATTTAATTTTGTAACCTTAAAAATATCAAATGAAAAATTGAAAGTACACTACCAAAAAGAAAAGGAATAGGAAGCCTAAAAATGATCTATAATTTTTTCATAATAAATTAAATTTTATTTAAATAATATGTAGTGTATTTGTATTAATATTTTTTTAAATATATACAAATATTATATTTAGCTCAGTTATTAACATATTTGAAATCGTTTTAAATTGGAGAACTCATGGAATTGAATTTTAAAAAATTGATTCTGTCCATGCATGTGTTGATTAAGAACCAATACAAAAACATGAGTGAAGAACACACTTGTAATAGTTAAATGAATTAATTACTAATCACTATGTTGTAATTTGTACGACTCACATTTCGTCTTAGTCCACTTTAAAAAAAAGTGACATATTTATATAGGAAAAAAGATTTGAAGTGTAATTGAATTTTGAATTAAAATTATTGTGATGATTTCGAATTTTTAAAAGAATTTTTTTATTTTGCGCTATTTGATAGTGTATTTTAAAGGTATATATTTACACACGTGAACATCAATATTGCATCATTTAAATAGTAATATGTTCATGTGGGCATATATATATACATTTAAAATGCACAATTAAATAGTGTAGGTTGGTAATAGGTCCTCCTCAAAGTTTGAGATTGTTACAACAATTTCGATCAAAGTTTGGATATATTTCGAACCCTTTGTCCATTTATGTATTTAGTAATAATTTAAGAAAAAATCATCTAGAATATTTTATCATAATCTCAAAAATTTCATTCAATTAAACAAAACAAAAAGTCACCTCTTGGATACATCGCTATATGCCCCTCTCAAATACATTCCTCCCCACTCGGATACATCCCTCACTTATGTATCCAGATGTCTATCGATGTATCCGGAAGTCCAGTGATATATCAGGTATTCGCTATGTAATGCATCTCTATTCAGAAGTCAAGTATCGTATCCGAAATCAATAAATTTTAATCAATTTGACAAAGAATAGGAAATTAAAATATTGTAATTACCTTTTAACACTATGAGATTTATATAAATTATTTAACTCTAAAAAACCTATACTTTTAATAAATTGATTTATAACGAGTTAATATCTATTACTTATTCTAAACCATATATTTAAAAAATCTTTCTATCCTTTTTACCTCTATATTTATCAATTTGAAAAGTGTTTTTTTTAACAGTCCATTTGAAAAGTAAGTAGTGAAATGAAATAAAATAAAAGGTGCAGAGCCTTAGACTAACCAACAAAATGCTACGCCATGTGATATTAAATTGTAGGTTCACATATTTTTCCCACTTGTTTTTGTCTTTTTTAAATTTGTGGACAAATGAGATGTTTTAAGACGAGTATGCACTATACCAATGAAGGCTAGAGATTTCGGTAGAGAATATTCTGTTTTTATTTTTGTAAAATTCAATACATGAATATTATCTTTCGATGATGATGTTGAATTAGATCAATATCATATTAATTAGTATTTTTTTGTGAATGTAATGTTGATTCTACACAAAGGAAGTATGGGCCATAGTTGATAATGATCGTACGCGCTTGGTGTTGGAGTAGTTGATATTAACTAGCTTGTACTATTATATGTGGTCACAAACTATTGGTTTGTCGAGTTGAGCAAACGTTTAGTGCATTGTGGTCCTTATGATCTAGTATTTATTGTTAATCAATGGCGTCACACACTTGTCTTACTTCTAAGAGATAGTCGTAATATAATGAACGTTAATCGCATAAGAGCACTTAACTAATCAAGAGTTCGACAATTCACATGTAGAATATATGTACTAATTCAGATTTATGAACTTTTAAGTGTCTATTTGTCTATACTCAAAATTAGAGATAGAAATGTCATCCAAGATCAACTTAAAAGATACATTAATGCATTATGTCAAAATGAAAAGTAGGTCGAACGAATTGCAACAAAAGTCATGTTTTTAAACTGCTACAAAAATCTCCAGGAAATAAAAATCATCAAAAAAATGTTTGTATCTTAAAATTATGACTTCGAGTCCGGAAAAGGCTAGAGCTTCCAGGTTAAAAAAAACCATCTTTGTCACATGTAGACAATTATTCTTATCAATGACTTAACAATAAAAATATTTTTACCCAAAGAAATGTGATTGCTCTTCCTACCTCTCAATTTTTTAAATTTTTATTTATTTGATGCATGGAGGAAATTTATGGTGGTGCAGAAGAGACTGTTTTAAGTAATAATGATTTAAAGCTCCAAAAGAGAAGTTACGAAATCATGTTTAAATAATAATTATAGTAAAATAGTAAGTATTATTTTATTTACTAATCCAATATTTTAAATTTAAATCAACTTGAATATGAAATTTATTTTTATGGAGAGAGTAATTCGCTTTTAATATAAAGTTTTTAGCTTGAAGCTGAATTTAATCAGACCCAATACATTATGCAGGACACCAATTTGAAAATAAAAAAGTACATAAAAAATCACGTCCAAATAAAGTGTAGGTCCAAAGAATTTACACATGGCAGTATGTCTTTGTATGATTGAGACTTTAGTTAGCTAGCACATTCCATTGTTTTATATTTAATTTGTTTCTTTTAAACTTTGGCAATGGTTGGTTGGACAATGGCTCTTCACTAAAATTTGACTATTTATGGTGGAGATAAGGAGATATGAAGATAAAGGGGTCCCATTACAAGGAAAGATAGGTATGTGGACTTGTCTTCATGGATCAAATGAAATTGTTCATAATTGATTGCTTATAGTGACATTTTCAATAAGTAAATATTTTACATTTCTTCCGTTTCAATTTATATGATAATATTTATTTTGGAACCCAAAATAATTCACAATTGGTATAACTTTTGTTCTTTGGGTGAGCACTTTTTGCGCACTAGATAAATCTCTCATTGTGTAATAGGTTACGAATCATATAGGCAGTATCGGAGCTAGAATTTTATCCAAGGGGTATCAAAATATTAAGAAATAAAATCGCGTAGAAGCCAAGTAATGTCAATATGCAATGTATATACATAAAAAATATTTCTTTTTCTAGCTACACAATGTAATTTTCCGACGAAGGATTGTCGATCGATACCCCTTAACTATATGTGGCTCCGCCGCTGCATATGGGAGATGTAAATCATGCTAAGCAAGCTCTATGCGACACTCAAAAGGCATTGACAAGGGATCGATCCCGAATCACCCACTCCAAACCAAACCAGTTGAGTAACCCCAAAGGACATGATCATGTTTGTTTATAAGATATGAAATTTAAGAAAAAAAGAAAATTTATACTCTAAAATAAGAAGCAAGTGTTTGCAGGATTATAAAATTATCTTATTAATAATAAAATAGATATTTAAAAATTAATATTAAATATGAAAGAATATTTTTGTTATCTTGATATCTGGCTTATGTTCCGTATCTGGAACATTCTTTTCTTTTCCAAAAAAAGTTAATTTCAACGGTGTTTCCTCAAAAATTATATATGCATAGACTACAGAATTTTGGAAGCTATGTATAATGTTGGCCTTTAAATGGATGTACCTATCCAGATATATGAGAAAATTATTATTTTGACACTTGCAAGACCTCTTTCTTTTTGAAAATTATGCAGACTTGATTTAAGAAAAAATGATATAATAAAAAATAAACTAAAATAGGCTAATGAATTAATTGAAATTTAATATTACTCATGCTGATATATTTACTTTGAATTTAATGACTAGTATAAGTTTTTTTCCCTTCTTGTTGAAGATTTAGGTGCGAGTAGAAAATGTAAAAAACTAGTAATATGGTGAAAATATTTTTAAAAATACTTTTTAGTTATCATGATTATTGAAAATAATTGTTTTGTTATACCTATAGGCTATAGTTAATTTTAAGTAACGAAACAGTTGAAGTTTAAATCAATACTAAATAAAGATAATTTAATCAATTATCTCTTTAATTGATACTTTTTAAAGGAGCGTGCAAAAGAGAAATATAATGAGTACAATCAAAGGGATAAGAGGGAATAATTAATTGCACATTACTTGATTTATTTATTTGTCACTTGATATTGATGCATAATTATAATTATTATTGTATAATTTTTCACCGATAATCCCTTCTTGAAACAACTATTTACTAAGTGTCCTTTTTATTTTTCTATTGTAACTCAAGAATCTTTTAAACTACGACTCGAAAGAAAACTTATAAAAAATGGTTGATCACAATCTAAAACTTTATAAATATTACTTCTCCGTATCATAAAGAATGACCTAGTTTGATTTAATACGGAGTTTAAGAAAATAAATAAAATTTTTGAATCATGTGATCTTATATTAAAGTTATGTCAAATGTACAAAATTATCCTTAATCTTGTGGCCTTAAATATGCCACGTGGAAAGTTGAAAGTAAAATGTTAACAAAAAATTAAAGAGTTCATTCTTTTTAAAACATATACTGGACCTGTGGAACATATTATTGGGCTTCAGCCCATTATTTAGTGGGCTAGTTAACAAAGTTCTTGGAATATATTATGGAAAAATAACCTTAAATACACAACTATAATTTTTATATTCTCCAATTTTCCCTACTTTTTTAAATATTACATAATTCCCTATTTTTTTAATTTTAGTGTAAGTTTTTAGATACATTACACTCTCTCCTATAATACACATTTACCAATTTTAATGCCTATTTTTTCTCCATTAAAACACTCAACCTCTTAAATCAGTTTTTGAATTTTAAATTTTTTCCATTTAAACACTCAACCTTTTAATCAGCTTTTTAATTTTGAATTATTAAATTTAATTAAATTTAAATAAAAGAACAAATTTTGAAATTTTGAATTTCAAAATTCAAAAAATATGGAAGCAGGGTAACTTCCACTGCATTCTACCGTTTTGTTCTTACCAAAGTCACCTTTCACTTCTTTTTTTCCTTAATCGTCTTCATCCCACTATTTCTTCATAACTTTGAATCTTCTCAACCCAACAGATTTTTCTATTTTCTTCTTTTTATTCTTAATCCATATTCGACTATTTCTTCCTAATATTGAATCGTAAGAACCCAGACCCTTTTTATAGTTAATCCATCATCAATTCGTATATTCTTCTCTTTTTCGTTTTTGTTAATTGTTCTATTACTTCATAGTAATATAAGTGTAGTAAAGTATAATATGTGCTTGATGATACATGTTGAATCTGTGTGTACATTGTTTAGTCAATGTAATGATACATGTAGTAGCTATGTATCACATGTTCTGCATGTAGTATGAATTCCTGTATGATATCATATATCAGTAAGGTATTAGTTGTTTAGTTGATTTACTCATACATGTTTTGAAACTTGTTATAATGTATCATTCATTAAGTTTAATAAATGCTTCATCAGATATAGTTGATGATACATATAGATTCTTTGTGTATGTTGTTTAGTCGCTGTTTATGATACATGTATTAGACATGTATCACATGTTATAATATTTTATTTAATTCAATGATACATGTTATAGACATGTATCACATGTTTTTCATATAGTATGAAATTTTGAAAACTGAAACCATGTATCATTAAGCTATTTTCAACTATTGCCAAAGCCTGTGTATCATTTGTTGTGCCTTCTACACACGTTATTTCTCCACTTCTTCCATCAAAGTTATGTACAGTACCACTATTCTTCTCAATTGTGTCAATACATAATGGATATATTGAAAATCCAGGCTCGTTTTTTTTCAGTTCAAAATATAGTTTAACACTCATATCGTTCTTAAGTTTCATCGGACAGGAGTTACCTTCTACAATGTATCGAATTTCAATTTCTTTCCTTGATACATCAATGTCCAACTCGGCCGCAATTGCTGCTTTGAGATTAGAAAACGAAATTGAATCACCAACAACGATTCCATCAATTTTGTAATTTTCATACTGCAATTCGTTCACCCAAATTCCGGAATATCTCATCAAAATCGAAGTATTCATCTTCAAAAACCCACTGCAACAACAAAAAAATTTCGGCAGCTCCAATTGTTTTCTAAATAACTGATACAATCTTTGATTTTCAAATTATGAAATTAATATCCAATTAAGTGCTGATTTAATGTTGATTAATGATCTGTTACCACAAATTAAGCTGTTTTAGTAACAGCTTTAAATTTACCGTTTTTATCCCCTATTTTTCTTAACAGTTTTAAGTTACTATGTATCATTTACCATGTATCATTAACTTTCTAAAGTATCACGGCTCAGCAATTTTAAGGGATTTTTTGTAATTATTAAACTTATCGGGACAGAATGTAATTATTGAATTACACTATGGGATTCCTTAAATTTATTGGGCTTCAGCCCATTTAAGTTTCGTCAAGACTATGGGCCTGTCAGTGAACTTTGTCTTATTCAAAAGGTTGAGCACTAACGGAACAAAAAGATGGGAGAAATACACAAATAGCCTCTCACTAAGGGTGTGTTTGGTAGAAGGAAAATGTTTTTCTAGAAAATCAGTAGATTTATGACTTATTTTCTCATGTTTGGTTGGTGAGTAGAAAATATTCTTATAAAATGATTTTCAGTGTTTGATTTATGAATGATAAATATTTTTGAGAAATATCTTTTACTTTTTATAGAGTAGACAATAATTTTTAAAATTAAAATTAAATATATATTTATTAAAAAATAATATTTGGGAAGGGGGTGGGTTATCACCAGGATAGTCTCTGTAAGTAGGACCAAAGCGCACAAACTAAAAATATAAAATTGAAGATATTTTTAAAATAAATTTATTTTTTTGTTGGGGGGCAGGTAGGAGGTGGTAGCCGGGGGGGGGGGAGAGGGGGGAGGGAGGGTAAAGGTGAAAAAAAAAATTTGATGTTGAAAATATTTCTTAAAAAACAAAATGAAAACTTATTTTGGGAGGGGGGGAGGGGGATGTACGGGTGAAAAAATAAAAATTTGAAATCAAAAATATTTTTTTAAAAAGAAACTTAATTTTTTTGGGGTGGGGGTGGGGGCTGTTGGGGGTGATTTTTTTAAAAAACCAAAAGTAATTTTTTAGAAATTGATGTTTTTTTTTTAAAAAAAAGTTGTAATTTGAAGTTGGATAGAGTTTTGAAAAATGGTTTTTCCTTGACTTTGAAGGGAAATCATTTTTCTTAATTTTGAGAAAAATGAGTTGATTTGGAAAACATTTTCTAAAACTTTTGTCCCAACCAAACATGAGAAATTGAAAAATATTTTCCTCCGTACCAAACACACTCTAAAGATTGAAAACTCAATATAGCCTTAAATTTGTGTTTACAATAATTATCCCTAAAATTTCTAAATCTGTTTCGATTAATGAACTCCAAAAATCTCTCAAACTTCAATATTTAATGAATAATCACTACATAATCTCTGTATAATCAATCATGTATATCTTATACACTAATTATACATTTGTTATGCACTAAATATAGGCCTATTAATTGCTATCACTGATTTCACTTGACTTCTAAAATTCAAAATAGCTCAAATCTCTCAAACTTCAATGTTAACCTTTGTTTGAAACAATTGCATATTACTTGAAAACATTATACATATATATACAGGGCCGTTTGGTTACTTATTATAGTTATATAGGTATTAATTATGTATAATTTAATTATACATATATTAGTTATGTTGGATTTAATTATACGGATACTATTTAGTGCTATCAACCATTACTAGTATAAACATTTGACTTTCATCTTTAGTGATAAATTAGTGCATCAACCATTACATTAATGTTTCATCATATCCTCCAAATTTTTTCTCACTATTTGTTCGTACGTCTTTGTCCACCTAATTTAAAAGTTGTTGAATTGGTACATTCGTCATCTTCTTAATCATTATTTTGTTCTTCATTTGTTTGTTGAACTAATTAATTGGATCGTACTCTAATTTTTAATGTGAAAAGGAATACAACACCAAATTTGTAGCTCAATTTATTAATCTTAATTTAATATCCCGTTTGTTAAATGTGGTCAAATTAAAGTTCAATGGTTCTTCAAGACTTCCAAAAGATTCCCTAATTAATTTTTTATAATTATACAAAGATTCCTTGCGTCTAAATATAAAGTCTATAACCACACAGGGAATCTTAGGAACAATAGTGTTCATTTCGACGTGATTGTCAGACATTTGAACTAATCACACTAATATAATTAATTATTATTACGTATGCAAATCGAGGTTGAAAAAAAATTAAGGAAGTTAGGTCCTGACATCCTAATCAAATTGACTCTTATGGCTGTAGACTAAACATACATATAATATATCAAAATATTCTTTAATCGTGACTAAAAATTAAACCATTAAGTATGAAAACAAACACCGTCCACGCAATAATCCTTCATTTATATGATCTTTTTGTTAAAGAGAAATAGTTTATGGATTATATATGTATGATATTATTTAGTATTGTTTTTGGCAGAAATTTTGAACACATTCACATCATACATACCTTACATGGTGTTATAAAATGTATTACTAATACCTTTCATTTAATGATATTACTAATAACTTTCACTTAACTTATTTCACGTGCCGTCGATATAATTTATACATGAAAATCCATAAGCTCTGATATAGGTGCATCATAATGTTTGGAGTGAATCCCAATTAACAATTATCCAGGCTGTTTTAGTGGAGGGGTCCAAAATAAAGCCGAAAGCAATATCATACTTTATTGGATTATTATTAAGAAAAGTCCACTTTTTAATGGGGATTTTGATTAGTGACAGTGACTGTAACTGTGACTGGTGGGGTATTCAATGTGCCACATTTCCATTAAGCTTACGTTTTTTTAAAGACAACGCCAGAAATTTACCGCAATTATATGCTTGACTTAATGAATTGTCGATACAAATAATATACAACAACACAAAAAATTGAAACAGAGAAACTCTCGGAGCATTTTCAAAACATACGTCATTGACTATCGCCTATGACAATATTGAAAATGTGATTTTGTTGGAAGTTTCGATTCTTTAAAAGGTTAAGTTAGCCGTACTATTTTATATACGAGTATAATATCATATAAAACAGTCTAATATAACATATTTTCAATCATTAGAGGGATTAAACTCATAATTTACCAATAAATCGAAATATTAAAAGTTAAGATATATATTATATTATAGAATGATATGATCATTAAGTTGAACGTACATTCCAAAGATATACAGAAATTATTACATAAATATGTTATTCTTATGGATAAAAAGCAATGTCCATGATAACATTATTCATGTTTTATGCTAATATATACTCATAACAACAACGGAAATAATAAAAACATTTCCTTGAACACAGTAAAAAAAATAAAATTACACATTATTATTATTTACATAATAAAGCTAAGTCTGAATTCGAATAATTTCGTCCTTTTGAGTTGGAATTGGAAGGTGACCTTTCTCTTGTAGACTCTTCACTGTCTCATATAAGCATTGTTTCACTGGTGTAAATTCCATCCCCAAATCCTTCAATTTTTGGTTTGAGAATTTGTATGGTTTTACCCTTGGCTTCGTCACATCCGAACACCTAATATTTTTACAAGTATAACCAACATTAGAATATATATATACTACCAATCGTAACGAAGACATCAAAAATACATTCGATTTGATAAAATATTGGTCCCAATGTGTTGGTAAAGCACAAGGAGAAGTTGGGACCAGCTTAGCCAGACAAGATAGTGATGGTGTGTTAGGTAAGAGCATTTTAGGGCTAAAGAATATTGTTGATACTCAAGTGTTTGTTAGTGGGTCACTTGTATATATGGTAACAATGCTTAGGTCATAACTCAAAAGTACTTTTCTTACCAATAACAATTTGGTACATCTACTAACACATCACCAATTCAAACAACAAAAAAGCAAGTGAAAAATCCTTTATTTGTGCATTTGTAAGCAAAAACATCCAACAACTTGATAAAACTAATGATGCATGTTTTGCGGACTAGGTCTAAAAACAACTTCGCCATTTTAATTTGAAAAAAAAATAAATTCATTAGCGCGATTACGTTGATAGATTTGGGAATTTGAACTTACTTTGTGGGGATGGGATATTCAGGGAAGAATTTGGCTAGAATTTCAACGATGTCACCACGATGAAGCACACTCTCAGCACAGAGGTAACGTCCTGATGCTGAAGGAGTTTCATAGAGAAGTATGTGAGCTAAAGCCACATCCTTAACATGTACATATGCTTGAACTGAATTAGCATATGTTTTAGCTGAGCCAGTAAGGTACTTGAGGATATGAAGAACACTAGCATTCACAGTATTTTGTAGCAATGGTCCAAGCACCAACACTGGATTTATCGCGACTAAATCAACTCCTTTCTCCCTCGCCTCATCCCACGCTGCTTGTTCTGCCACCATCTTACCATAACAATACCAATTCTACACATATATAACAACATATTCAAGTCAATAACAAGATATAACACGTCAAATTTTTAAGTATGAATTCGATTGACCTTAGTGTTCTTGCAAAAATCAGGATCGCTCCAGCAAGTCTCGTCAACCACTTTTTCAGGGTCTCTGCTTGGGTCCATGTACACAGCTCCAATTGAGGAAGTAAACACAACGCGTCTTACATTGGCCTCTGCTGCTGCTGTTATCACATTCTTAGTACCAATTACTGCTGGCTCCACCATTTGTTCCTTCAACATTTACTCCCAAAAGAAAATTAATTACTAAAGAAGGGGGAAATTATGAGCAAAACGACACACAGAAGACCTTTTTTCCCCCTCATGGACCTCTTGGTGGAACATAAAACATAAACAAATTAAAGTTTGTCTAGCTTGAATTGACAATCCAACTAATGGTTTAATTGGCCCAGTCCACCAACTACTACTACTAGATTATTATGTTTATGTTCCCTAACTTTTTCCCGGATATATTTTACTCAAAATCAATCACCAAAAAATAAAAAAAAACATTTTTTTAAAAACCAAAACTAGTATGATAATTGATAATCCAACTAACCGACACAAGATAAGAATTTCTTTTAGTTGTGTGCACGCTTATACAAAAAAAAATGATTCTTTTTACATCGCAAATTTGGTTTTACTTTTGTCCCTTTGTTTCATTTAATAAAAAAAGTTTAGCCTAATACACTAAACTTTCACTGGCGGACCACAAAGGTTTATTGTATGTTGTATCGTACATAAGTTAAAGGAAGACTTACTGGATCATCAGTAACTGGTGAAGCTGTGTGGAAAACTCCGTCACAGCCATTGATTGCTTCACGCAAACTCTGATAATCAAGAAGATCACCTCTGCATAGTGTTAGCCTCTCTTTTGCTCCTTCAAGTTCTCTCAAATGACAATTCTTTGGATCATCTATATATAAAAAAAACATTAAATTCTGTAAATACTCAAAAACAGAGTATATTCAACGATTTAGAGTCAGTGAGTTCAAAATGAACGAACTCGATACAAATTTTAATTTCTTTCAATATACGAGGCGAAAATGATGGGTTTGAATTGAAAAATATGATGAAGATGTAGTATTGTGTGCATACCAGGATTTCTTACAGTTCCCCTAACAGTGTAGCCTTTTTCCAAAAGAAGTTTAACGAGCCAAGAGGCGATGAAGCCTCCGGCACCGGTAACACAGACGACCCGACCGGAGACTGACGGCATGCTGCTAAATATTAATTTACCGATGAGATTAGTGATGAAGATGATATAGAAAAGTTGAATTAGCTGAAGGCTCTTTTCTTAGAAAGTAATGAGTAAAACAGAGTATATAGAGTGTGTTTATATAGGGGTGGTTTGGTACATGACACAAAAATAATAAGATTATTTTATTTTATATTATTTTTTCTAAAATAGTGAAATTATATCCCATACAGAAAAAGGGGCAGCTCAAATATATTTGAAGCCAAATTCAGATTGAATATATTTTTATAAAGTTTATTGTAGCCAATTATTTATTTTTTTCTTGAGATATATAGTATATTCAATAAGTATTTGTTAAATTTCTATCACTTATTTCCTTGTATATGAAAAATTCTACAAATAATAATTATAGTATTTGCTTTTTTTGTTTTAAAAAAAAAATTCTTAATTTTATTTTTTAAGATGAGGCTCCAACGCAATTACCTTTTTAAAAAAGTGCTCATGTATATAAAATGATATAAAATAATATAAAATAATTTAATGAGATATCTTTTACTTATTTTATTTCACTAACCAAATGATATAATGTAATATTATTTATTATGTATATGTATACCAACTTTTGGCTCAAACTTATTGGTATAACTTACTCTGATGTAAACGGACTGCTTGCGACCCCTCAACCATGATCCTAATTCTATTGAATTAAGTTGATTAAATCGACTAAAATAACTATAAACAATATTTGATCAACAAGATTGTTAATAAACTTAAGGAGATTAGGAATAATTACACGTTTGGTCCCTCAATTATGAATAAATTCAAATTTTGATCCTAAAAATATTTTATGAAGCATATTTAACCTTCGATAACTACAATATTTCCTTTTTATCCTTTATATAAGAAATACAATTGACGTTTCTTTCGCGTATTTTTAGTAATACATCACCATTAGCTATGAGGCTATGAAGTTACAACACATGGTATGTAATTTATCATTAATTGAATGGTTTTAACACTTAATATCGATACTTCAAAACTGTACTTATCAATCATCTGAAAGTCATATATGTTTAACAACTGTACTTATCAATCATCTGAAAGTCAGATATGTTTAACTAAGAATTAGAAGGATCAAAATTAAAATTTATGAATATTTGAGGGTCTAAAAATGTTAATACCCAAAGGACTATGTGAGTATAGTTTACCTTTTGGGTTATATTTGTAAACCCACTATTGTTAATTAGATTAATTAAATTAAAGTGATTAGCAGTCAAAAACAAACACCTTTAAGAAATTTTCAATGATGTTTTCTTTCTCCGGTCAAGAGATTGTGTAGTTGAAGGAATGAGGTCACCGGCGTTATTTACAGATTAAATTAGTAAAAGTATCATATTATTGAATAATCCAATGGTAATTTGTTAATTAATTAATATAATGTGAGTAATCAAGCTCTGAAGGTTCTATCAACAAAAGTGTCATTTGACTTTGAAAGAGCAAATTAAAGTTCAGTGACATTGAAATTTTGTTGGACATTATAAGACGTGTTCAATTCTAGTTAGAATTCTTCAATGTGTGTTCAATCTCAATTGAAATTCTTGGAGGCTAAATTTAAACTCTAGTTCATGCTTATAAAAAGATATTATATTCCCTTGAAAAGACATCTCGAAAATTTCAATCTAAATTATCCTAATTAGTTCGAGAAATACGTTACTAACGACTCTCGAATTATGGATAAATCTCAGAGAGCAAAATCTAGGATAGAATAGAATTGTACTCGCACTGTTTATCAATAAATTTATATTTTTTCATATTTTATTTTTGTTGTAATTTTCTTTCTGTCACTTTAAAATTATTGTTTTAGTGATTAAGACAATATTTAGATTATCCTTCACAAGAGGCTCAATATTTAATCCAAACAATATAATTTTATTAATCCAGCCAAATAATCTAGTGCTAAACTTCTAATTCACATATTAACGAATTTAATATAGTATTTTCTTCGTTTAAAAAAGAATGTCCTATTTCCTTTTTAGTTTGTTTAAAAAAATGTGCCTTTTTTTTGGCAATTCTTTAACTTTAACTTTCCACACGACATGTTTAAGATCACAAGATTAAAGGACATTTTGGTACATTTGACATAACTTTAATTTAGAATTATAAAATTAAAAAATTTCTTTCTTTTTCTTAAACTCGTTCCAAGTCAAACTAGGCCCTTTTTAAAACGGAGGGAGCATTTAGATTTAGTATTTATTCATTGGTCCTTTTCTCGTTTACTTCTTTAAATTGGTGATTTTATTTTCATTCTCTATTTATATTAATTTCATTATTGAAAATTATCTCAAAAAATTAAATCCTAAATAGTGTTATGTACAATTTTCTTTCTCTAAATCTTATTAAAGTAAATATAAGGTCTGCATACAACTTTCTCTCTTCATATTTGTTTGTTAAATTACATGATTATGTTATTATGAATTACATTTTTGAAATTACATATCAAAAAGTTCAATCTTGTATTTAATATGAAAAGACAATTAATTAACTAGTAATACTATATTTAAAGAAATGTATGATGTATTCGTCGAGTTAATAAGGACATCATCAATTATATGTTGAGCTAGAGAACACTAATTTAAACCTTATTGTTTCTAAATTTTAAAAAAACTACAACATAAAGTATTAGAAATGAAATTTTAATATATTTTTGTACATTTTATAAGTTTTTCATTATAAATATAAAATTTAAATTTAAGTCACTAAATTTGACCAAACTATTATTTAACCCTTCCAATTTCATTGATCCATTGCTAGTTGCGATCCTGAACCATGTGATCCTAATATTGAATTAAGTTGATATAATTGATCGGAAGAACTATGAACATACTTATCAACAATTTTTTTTTAATAATTTGCAGGTGATTAGGAATAACTATATTTTTGATCCTTCAATTATGGATTAATTCTTATTTGATCCTTACAATATTTTGTTAAGCATATTTAAAATTTAATCAACTATAATATTTATTAATTTTTATGAATTTAACATAATACATTGATTCATTGAATGATTTAGCACTACATAATTCATTAAATTTGTAAAGATTCAAAGTCTGAGAGATAAAAAAAATGCACATATCAATGAATAGAAGGTTAAATGTATCTAACTAATTTATTAGGATAAAAAATTGAAATGATCAATATTTGAGGGGCTTAAAAGATAATATCTCAAAGGATCATGCGAGTATAATTAACTTACATTTTCTTGATTATATTTAGAATTTACTCTAACTTACATACTATAAACTATTCTTAATAATTAAAATTATATTAATAATCTGATTTAATTATTAACGGTCAAGAATAAACAATCTTAGTTTGCGTATTGTAATTGCACGGAATAAGGTCATCGGCGTATTTTATCAAATACAATATTACAAGTGTAACTTTTATTGACTCATTTGATGATTAACAAACGTAATATACTTGTTAAATTAATTGAGTAATTTAACTTGTGAAGGTTCTATCACAAAAGTGTGACTAGACTTTGAAAGAGCTAATTACTCAAAAATTCAACATATTTGGATAAAGAACAATATTCATTGAGGAAGAATATCTAATAATGACTAATTTCTCCAAACACGTTTTTTTTTAAAATACCAATATATTTACTAAGAATATCTAATAATGACTAATTTCTCCAAACACGTTTTCGCCAGATTGAAAATTTTACGTTATTGGATTATTGATGTTCTTGTTAGGAATAATTCTCTACTGCTAATTCACATATTAACGTTTTTAATATTTAGGAAAGGGAAAAAGGATAAAAATACTTTCAACCTATCGTAAATAGTATGCAGATACTCATATCCTCCGTCATATTTTTGAGACGTTGGTGTCCCTGCCGAACATATATGTCCTTCACTCGAACGGAAGACTAAATAGGGACACGTGATACAATCTTATCCATCGATCCAATGTCAGGTCGGTGGATAAGATTATGACACGTGTATGTCCGTTAGTATAAAGAGTATGTATGCTCTAGTTTTTTGACGGCAAGGACACCAATATCCGTAAAATATGACAAAAGGTATCTGCATAATATTTATGATAATTCGAGTTATGGTTATCCTTTTTCCCTTTAGGAAAAATACTTCTATGTCTTAAAAATTACCTTTTGATACTTTCTTTTGTATTCTCGTTTCATGTATTAGGATTTTGAGTTATAACTTTATCATTTTCTTTTTGGGTAAAAGTAATACTTCTAAGGTCATAATCTGTTGGAGTAATTATATTTATTAATACAAGCTAGAGTTAGCCTGAAGATTAATACATAGTGTAATCCTTTTAACTTGCTTCAAGTTAGAGTTAACTCGAAGGGGATTTGTTTATTATCGTTGTACAACAAGGTTAATAGCCAAATCTTTAGGATTATTTTTTTTGTAATCGAGTTTGGCTTAGTTATTTAATAGTGAATTGCAATTTTCATATTTTTGAGCCAACGTAGTTTTCAAGATTAAAAGAAATATAGTAAGAAAATATAGAAGAAATAAAGCTCAATTGTTTATATATTATATTATTAATAATTGTGAGATGGTAGTAAGACAGCTAGTTATTACTAAAAAAATATTTAATGCTAAAATTTAAAATTGTGGTTTGTGATCGAGGGCTGATCGTGCCTAAACTCAAACTTTATTAAGAAGCTTTAATTAAACTTAAAAAATCATATTTACTAACGTGTTCCATTCTTCATAATTTGACATTATTAAATTTTGAGAAATAATAAAAGAACAATATGCTACTATAATGTAAAAATATAAAAAGAATAACTTCAAATTTATAGAAAAAGATAGTACTAAAATATAGCGTAGTAGTGACACATAATAAATAAGAAAATAACATGGGCAATGCACGTTCAATATATTATATATTATAACCCCAGAACAAAAAATAAAATAAAATAAACCTATAGTCTAATTATAATACTAGATAAAGGAAACAAAGTGACGCACTATGAAATCAAAACGTGATTGATTTCGCATATTGGAAGAGTAATTCAAATTTAGAATAGGAAACCAAATCTAATTCTAATTAAATTAGGCTTTACACTTCTGTAAGTAGGAATCATGCTAGTTATTTTCATATAGCTGAGTAGAATTTGAATCAAACAAAATGGAAACAGAGTACTCTTTTTCTCAATTTCATCCTTCAACCAATCGCAGAAGTGACACATAACAAAAAAGAAACAAATAACATGTGCAGTGCTTGTTCAATATATATCTATGGAAACACAAAAAAAATCTAAACAAGAAATGGTCTTATATGGAAATACAAAAAAAATCGTTGATTCATAATTTGAATTTTATGGGTTTTGAATTCTCCAACATCAGTAATTTAATCATACATATAAGCCGCTGAGCATTAGTAAACACCAAGAGCAGACTGTAGCGCGACATATAATAAATCTACAACCATGACCAGCTCAGTTTCTTTTGCTGCTGAAATATGCTAAGACTCGCATCTCATTTCTCCAATCAACTGAATCACATCGCTTAATTTAGTAGTTACATTTATGAAAATTCTTCAACACTTGCAGGAGTTGAGTTTCTTTCCTATCCACGACAGAGATTTCCACTGATTCAGTGCCCTTCTACTCTGCGGTACTTAATTTATGACCTGTAGATAAAAATTACAGCACATTTGACAAAAAAGAAAAACATTGAATATTCAGTTTAGAACGCAGTACTAACTAACTACAACGGGTAACAAACAGAAAGACCTTTTGGATGAAGAGATATTTAGCACTGAGTATCAATAGTGCGCATGAAGTGCCTCGACAACATTAAGAAGAGAAGGAAGGAAGGCTGATAATTGACTCTCCAGGTAGATAAATGCATGGATAGTTTGTTCTGGGTTGACTTGAATATCCAAACAAAGATTTACATAAATGGAAATTTTCTCTCTGAGCTACAAGTAGGACCAAATATATTGACATGTCTAAGGTGATGTTCTGGACAAATCCTAAAAAGAAATTTGGTATCTACAAGTGAAGCACAACAACTGAAGCTGGATTTCCCAAATGTTATAAAAAAAAATTAGATTCAATACTTACGTAGCAGATGAAACAGCATGGCCTTGAAAGTCTAACGCGTGATCCTGTACAGATTTTGCACCGAAAACAATAACATCAAAACAAATATAAATGCAACAAGAATATGAATATCTGTTGTCAGACGGGTAAAGAACCTTTTGAGTTGAATTATCTTCAAGCATCTCCCATCGTTCTTTATGTAGTCTCAATTTCTCTGATTCACCATCATCATATAAGACCTAAGAAGAGAAACACATGTGCAAGTTAGGTAAGATTTCTACTTCCCGATCAGTTTATATTTCCCTTCCTTGGTTAGTTATGAATAAGGCTCTAACAGACAGGTTTCTAAATTATAAGGTCATCCCTGTATGTAAGAATGGATTTATGTGGCAGATCATGAATTTGAATAGTAATAGACTTGGCTATTCCCTATTTTATGTGACCCATTTGACTCAACATGGAGATATTATGATAATCGGGTTCAAACAATATGAATGACAAGTGTTTAAACATAAAGAGTAACTCAAAGAAAATTAAGAATTTATAATCTCATCACCTTGTGTTTCCTTTCAACGGGATCAAAAGAAGAGACTACTCCCTCGTAAAACCTACAAAGAGAAACATTAAGATGAGAAAATGTAGAATAGTACTTGCCAAATGAATAAAATAATATAGAATAGTAATATCGCCAACAATGTTAGCCTGTTTCAAACTTTCATACAAGAGGCAACCAACAGGAGAAATGTACCAAAGGTAAATACTATGATCGGTCAAATTGTATGATCTTTTTGGATGGAGAAGGAGGCAGAGAGGAGAAAAAGGAAAAGAGAAAAGGACCATACTTGAAAAATTAAAAAAATGACAGACTATTCTTCACACAAGTCTTTTGTTAGACAAACAAACTGCATTGGAAACTCTGGAACCCATTAACAACAAAAGGTTACAGTTTGACTCTCTCTGCCTATGACTGCCATAATACGCAGGAACCGTCTGCAAGTTTTAACTCTGCTTAAAGCATCAAGGATCATGACTTAACATATACTTCATTTATCCTGTTTAATGTGACACACTTCCCTTTTTAGCCTGTCCAAAATGAAATGACACCTTTTATAATAAGAATTTAGAAATAATTTAAATTTGAACTTCACATTTTACCCTCTAGGGCATGATTTTATGGCCACAGAAAAATCTATGGCATGTTTTATGCGATAAGTATCGGAAGAAGTTCTTTCTTTCTTTCTTTCTTTAACTTTGAGCCCAATAGAAAACTGAGACATATTACTGGGATGAGGGAGTAACTCAAGAAATATTGAATGAGCCAAGGAACGATGCAAGCTACAAATAAACACATGCTAGAATTCTTGCAATACCATCAAAGATATAGGAGTATAAGTAACTGGAGGAACGAGGTTCTTGCACATAGCCTAGCAGGCAAAGCAATATTTTAGAGCATAAACTCGAAAACTGAAGGCTACATCAAGTGCTGAAAAGTGTGTGTGTGTGCAGGATGGTTGGGTGGGTGAGCGTGATTAATTAGTACAACAAATTAACAGTGATTTGCTGTGCTCACATAAATGATCCAAACTACTTACTTTTCATCCAATGGCCACCAAACTTTTATCCTAGTGCCAACCAGTTCCTTACCATAATCTTTCATGGTAAAAGTCCTTTTAATATCCTAAAACAAAAAATTAGAACGACGAGTGCTTCAGACATGAAACACTTAGAACCATAATCTAATACGAAATCTGTCAGAAACAATAGTATATCAGATGGGTAGGTCAGAACCTTTTGAGATGAATTGTCTTCAAGCATTTCCCATCGTTCTTTGTGTAGTCTCAATTTCTCTACTTCACCATCATCATATACGACCTAAAAAAGGAACACCAAACAACACCGGTCATTTGGAACTTTCAGGAGGATTTTTTATGAAATGTTAAAGCCAATAAAATACGGTCCAAGTTAGATAACGCTGCTTCACAATCAATATATTTAAGAATAGGTTCTACAACAAAGAGGTCTCTAAACTGTAAGGTTGTACCTTTATGTAAAAAGGGATTTACTTGGCAGATCTTGAATTTGAAGAGCTAAATAGATTTGGCTATTCCCTAGTGTATCCGACCCCATTTTTGACTTAACATGGAGTTAGTTTCACTTGCAGGTATATTATATTAGCAGTGGTAGAGAACTTTCATGAAAACAAATGATACAATGATTTACATGGTCAAGGATGTTGAATTGTTGTATAAAATAAGAATGACAAGAGTACATAAAAATAAATGATCTCGTCACCTTGTGTTTGTTTGTCTCAGAATCAAAAGAAGAAATGACTCCCTCGTAAAACCTGTAAAGAGAAACTTTAAGATGAGAAATTGTAGCTAGATTCTTCCTTGTTTTTCAAGATGAAGTAAGAATCGAAATTGGTAGATACAATGACGTGAAGAACAAAAGAGATATTCAAAGTTGTGTGAACAATAATGGCATTAAACTAATGAGTAAAAGATGGAACTCGGGGAAAGAGTGATAGAACATATAGAGTAACAGAAACCAGTTCGGATTTATACCTGATAGATCTACAACAGAGGCTACATTCCCGCTAACTCATTGATGTGCCGTGAAATTACGGCACATTCTATGTCATATAAATAGATTTTTCATGTTCTTAATGCTTTTTAGTATATAATTCTTATGTTATTTACATTTTGTAGATATTTTGAGGTGGGACACCAAAGGAGCGCAAAAGTGATTAAACACGTCAAAAAATTGAACCCTTCCATGAACTGCCTCAAAACCACACTGCATACTGCATAATGGGTCTGTCAGCCACAAAAGAGACAGAATATAAAGGACTTCGAAGACCAAAATGCGATGATCTTTTGTGGTCCCATTTCTGTTTTGCGAACCACATTCCTGTCTGCGATCAAGAATAACCTGTCATGAAGCCTATTTAAAAACCACATTTCTAGTTCTTCGGAGCAGTATCGAGACCACACAATAGGAAGAACTTAAGTGTAGCCCAATATTAAAATGTATCTCCTAGTTGGTTTTGAAGAGCTAGCTAAGATAGAAATACTCAAGCGACATTTAATGGGCAATTGAGATTCCAAGGCTTATTGCTTGTTACATGTTTATTATTAGTTAATTATTTGTAAAGTTTCGTTCTTGATGATAATCAATTCCATAATTTCCACATCTCTAGTTTTTTCTTTCTTGCGAGTTCATTGATCATTTTACACCCCCCCCCCTTTTTTTTATAGATTTTATCTTTATAATTTCAAAGCAAAATCAAATATTTCAAAATCATTCAATTAGCTTAATTGGTGACAATTCCATAACTAGCTTGGTTTCCCTAGTATATTATTCCACGTGGGATTTGATCCCGACTCTTAGTTAGGTAAATTTTATTGCAACGACCATGTACATTGAGAAGTGGATTTGGACGTCATCACTCTTCTAACAAGATTGATGGAAGTTTATTATGAGAAGAGACATATATTTTGGCTATCACGTTCGTCGACCCAAATAAAGTGTAAGAAGAAGTGCCACGGAAGGTCCTTTAGTGGGTGATGGAGGAGAAAGGAGTTCACAATTGTTAAGGAATGACAAAAGTCCCACATTTGGTTAATGAGATGGGTGGACTCCTTATTAATGTTTGGGCAAACCTCCTCCCTTTGAGCTATCTTTTAGGGTGTGAGTTAGGCCTAAGGCCTCATTTGTATGGTATCAGAGCAGAGTCCGTCTTACTCGATGTTGGGGCCCCCACAATCAGAATTGTCCACGCACTAGATGCTAAGCATTGGGCGTGGGCTTAGACAATCCTCCTCCCTTTGAGCTAGCTTTCCGGGTGTGAGTCAGGCCTAAGGCCTAGTTTCACAATAATAAATTGTAAAAATTCATGAAGGAGTTGTCACTGGCTTGAGAATTAATAAGAAATACAAAGAAGTTGATTTGTCACTGGCGTGAGGATTAGTAAGAGATACAAAGGAGTTGGTCTGTCACTGGCGTGAGAACTAGTAAGAGATACAAAGGAGTTGATTTTCCTCTAACTGTGGGTTTACACCGAGGATCGTCATTGAGGCCCTACTTGTTTACTCTAGTTATTAATTAACTAACCAACATAATACTATGTGAGGTCCTTCACCATTTGCTGATGAAATTGTGTTAATGGACGAAACCATTTAGGGTGTCAACCGAAAACTTGAACTGTTGAGAAGCACTTTAGAGAGCAAGGGTTTTCGGATACGATGAGTAAAACTAAGACTGAATATATGCACAAAAGAACTCTAAAGTTTAGTCAACATGAGAAGAACTGTAAATTGATGTGAGACTAGGCTGGATAGACGTGCCTAAATGCAAACAATTTAAATATCTAGACTCTCGTTGTTCCAGAAGGATGAACTGATAGATGAAGATGTTACTCAATAGAATTAAAACTGGATGATTCAAATGGAGAAGTATTATGTGATAGATATTAAGCTTTACATAATAATTATAAGTCCAACAATGAATGTAGGGTATCTAAAGTGCAATATATCCACAAGATAAGTGTCGCAGAGATGCGATACTAATATGGATGTGCGATCATGCCTAATTATATAAGACTAAAAATGACCACATCCGCTAGAGGGTGCTAGTAGAATACATTAATGATAAAATGAGAGAAGGCCACTTGAGATGGTTTTGTCATGTTCTACATGACGTCCAGATTACATAGGGGTTAGGGTTAAACCATAATGAGAGTAGGTCGCTTGAGATAGTGTGACTCTGCCTACAACTGCCATCACGTGGAGGCATGGTCTCCAAGTTTTGAGCTCTGCTTACAGAATCAAGGATCATGAAGTACCACATAACTCAAGAAAACCGAATGAGCCAAGGTAGAAGACAAAGTTATGGATAAAACCCATGCTAGTACTAGAGTCTAGATCTATACCATCAATTAAAAAACTTATAAGTATGCCAACGGAGGAGATTCTTGCACATAAAGCATAGCAGGCAACGCAATGTTTTAAAGAACAAACTCAATAACTGAACTTTACATCAGGATCGTTGGGTGCAATAAATTTACAGTGGTGTTGCAGTCCTCACATCAATATTTTAAAGAACTTACGCTTGCTCCAATGGCCACCAAACTTTTATTTTAGTGCCGATCAGTTCTGCACCGTGATCTTTGCTGGTATGAGCCCTTTCAGAATCCTGTGCAGCTCGCAAGTAAAAAAGAGAATTGCAAAAGGAAAGTAATAATTTGTTTATTGCAAAAATAAATTAGCAAAGATCTTGAAATAACTATTACTAAGCTGTACAGTTGTCAACCTTATCGCTAGATTCTTCAGTATTAGTTGTTTTCTTCGTCTTCTTCTTCTTCCACTGTTTGATTCCAAAAATTTGTTGCAGTGTTGGATCTTTGTGTTCTTCGAGGTTTCCTTCTTCATTTTTTATGCCAGATTCAGATTTTCTCTCTGTTTCACAATCTGAAGC